AAAAAAAAAAAAAAAAAAAAAAAAAGGAACAAAAAAAGAGTTAATTAACTTTAGTTGCATTTTTTTTTCTCAAAGGGACAGAAATAGAAAGAGATCAAATAAATTCCTAACACAGTGGATCTCAAGTTCATGGAAGTTTTTATTGGGCAATGGATGGGGCCCTAAGCTCTAATACAAGATCCTGTTAGACACTATGCCTGAAGATTAACACTAACATTATTTTATAATTGAAATTCAGTTTGAATTTTCAGCTCAGATCACAAAAAATCCTGGAAAACAAGACATAAAAGGAAAATATATTTTGTTGATTTACTTGATTTCTCAGAATTATACTTTTAAAATCCACCTGAATACATCACAACTAGGTAAATAAAGGTATGAAGAAATGTACATTTACAGTGACTTCAAAAGGGGAGAAGGAGGTGCTGGGGGGGGCATATGTAATTTTACACCAGCTTTTACACTTGTAAACATTACCTCTGTATAAGCCTGTAGCCATTTAAGTCCAGCAAAATTCCCCAGCTCTAACCTTGCTTCATTCAGGGCCAAGGTTAGGTCACTTACATCACTACAGATTCACGCACATGTAAATTCCAGTGTAACAGTCAATGCAGTCCCAGAGTAGCAGCTGCTTCTTCCCCTTTTGAAGCCACTACAAATGTACATTTGTCCATACCCTAACTGTCTACATTATACTGATTACAGTGAATGCTTCATATTCCCTTGCATCAAAGACTTTTTCTTAATTAAGAGCCCAAACCGCACTTACAGTGCATATCAGATAAGTGCATATCACAGTGCTTATAGTATCCAGGTTGCAGCCATATTGGTGCAAACAGGATACTTTACCATACCTTCAGCTCTCCTGTGAAATATTAATTTTCATTTCTACCTAGGAGAACTTCTATAATCTTTGCAATCTCTTACACCTGAAGAAGGGTGCCTGTCCCTGGAAGCTTCTCAATAAACAATTTTTTTTTTTGCAAATATCTAGTTGGTCTAATAAAAAAAAATCACCTCTGCCACAAGTTTTGATTCCTTTCACAATGCTTATCCCATTTTATTGGTCGATTATTACGTCAATTATCTGCACATCAGGTAAGAAAAAAATGGCTTGTATGTAAGAACTCTTCAGCCCCATCGTCTACACTTTAACGTAACTGTCCTCTCGCTGTAATTTGTGACACTGATCAGGAGCCACCTGTTTCAAGGCTTATAAGGCAGTCCTGAACTATGTCCTCAATGTCAAGACTACTCTTAGTGGTACAAGGGCTCTGCAAAGCAAGATAATGAGCCTTAATGAGGTGTGAAGAGCTTTGGGCTGTTGTTCCTATCATTAATGAGCATTTTTCACACTGAGTTTGGGTAAGTACATACACTGGGTAACTCAGATTTTTTCAGTCTCAAGGCAATGTATATTCATTTAACTACTCTTCTTTTGGAGTAGTCCCACTGATTTTCAGTGTATGGGGAACAGAAACAGGCCCTTTGTCACATACACACACTATCATTCATGCAGATTTTAATAACTAGTGTGGTAGTTGGGGCATGGTGAGGAACATATTCCAGAAAGACAAGTAAATACCAGCTATGATCTGGCAGGCAAGGCTCTTCAGGTAGATGCCAATACCTTTTATTAGATCAACTGAATAGTTGGAAAAAAGCTCATTGTAAGTTTTCGGGCACAAGCACCATTTGTCAGGCATAGGGAAACTCTGCTGGTGTTATGTGTTCTCCAAGGTAGAAAAGAAGCTAATTTACAACAAGCATGTCTGTGAAAATGAAATGAGTGGAAGTTAGGGAGACAATGGATAAAAGATGGGGAAGAGTGGGGAGGGAAAGGTGTGAAGGAAAGCAAGTGGGCATCTGCAGGCAGGTTACCTGGGGTATCAGATGTCAGGCAGGTTGTAATGTATCATAAATTCAGTATCTATATTAAGTCCATGATTTTTTGTACACAGTAGACTTATGAAGTAAAGTTTGTAGGCTTGTCTATTAAAGGTGTTTTGTAAATTCCCTTTGAGGATTAGAACTGAGAGACTGGAGAGGGAGTGATTGTCTTGTGAAAAGTGGCAGGCAAGGTTCTTAGAGTAGATGTGGTATTTTTTATTAAAACAACCTAGTAGTTGGAAAAAAAGTTCTTAGCAAGCTTTTGGGCACAGTCACCCTTCTTCAGGCATAGGGAATCTCTGCTGGTCTGAGACTTGAAGCAATGAGAGAAGCTAAAAGTGTGATAGGATGTCAGGGAGATGTAAATAGGTAGAGATTAGACAAAAGGTAAGGAAGAAAGAGGAGGTGGAAGGTGGCAGGGGAACAAAAAGGGAGACATTACAGTGATAGAATACAAGGTAGAAAGGAGGCTGTCTATGAAAAAGGGAATAGTTTGAATGAGGAAAACAGGAACCAGAGGAGCTAAAAGTGTGACAGGATGTCAGGGAAAATATAAATAGGTAGCGATTAGAAATCAGAAAAACAAAAGGTTAAGCAGGGAAGGTAGGAGGAAGAAAGCAGGGAAAAAAGGCTAAAGGGAAACTTACAGAGGCAATAATACAAGGTGAAAAAGAGGCATCAAGGAGAAAGGAAATATATGGAAATCATGAAGACAAAGGGCAGAAAAGGAGGGGAGGGGAGGGGAGGGGAGAAAAGGTGGGGTCGTCTCAGACCAGCAGAGACTTCCTGTGCCTGAAGAAGGGTGACTGCCCAAAAACTTGCTAAGAACTTTTTTCCAAACTACTCAGTTGGTCTAATAAAAGATATCACATCTACTCAAAGAACCTTGCCTGCCTATGCCCTTAGACTAACACGGCTACAACCAAAAACCCAGCAACTTGGGAGAAGTGGGCACCCACAAGTAATTGGATATTTTTTCTCTTGGATGGATTTTCCATGTGCGTTTATTCTGGTACTCAGCTGTTGTTTGGTTTCTCCTACATATTTTCTATCAGGACATTTGGTGCACTGGATGAGATCTATTATATTACATCTACCCAAAGACCCTTGCCTGCCTATGTCCTTAGACCAATACAGCTACAACAAAACAACCCTGCAGCTATGATCTGGCATATACATTTGTGTGCAACTGCAGGTGGACTAGCTATTTATTCCTTCCAACAGAGTGTAAAGTAGGAATCTTCCCTTGGTAGAAGGCTAGTCAGGCCACCTAAGTCTTTCACTCTCCCATGTACCTTCAGGGGGGATGTTGCCCTCGCCCCCTGCTGAGCAGGTCTGTGGACTCTGCCAAGAGTGGAGGGAGCCCCACCCCACTTCCCCAGGGAGTCCAGCATGGGGCTTCACTAGTGCAAGTGTGGAAGCTAAAGGTGTGCAGCACACAGCCATCGTGATAGATGCGGCTGGGCAGGCTGTCCTTGCCCCCGCATGCAACGCTGGCCAGAGCTGTCCTCTGCTGGGCGCTAGTGCCTGTGCCAGGCATGAGCCCCCTGAGTGCTCCCCCCTCCCTGTCTGCTGCTGCTGCTGCTGGCAGTGGCGGCTGTCCACCATGCAGGGGGAGTATGAGGGGATCCCCATACCCCACAAACCTCACACACCCATACCCCACCCCTACAACCCCCACTGGCGTATACACACACCCCAACATACCCTATACCCCCACACACAGCCACACCCCCTCAACCCCCCCACATCACTACACACACACACACACACACACATACAGTGCCCCATACCCCACCCCCACACACAATATAAAAAACTAAGACTTTATTTTGAGTTATTATGCAAGCCCTTCAATATACAGTACACAAACACAAATCATGACAAATATTTTTTGTAATAAAATTAAAATAGGTTATAGTAGGTGTTTGACTTCTAGTGTATGATTTTTTTTTTCTGGTTCTAAGATGACAACCCCTGCTTCCAAAAGGAGTAGTTTTGGGGGCAGGGGGAAGGACTTCCGGTGGCAAACGTCAGGGGTTAGGTGGCAGGACTTCTGGTCCCAATATGGTGACAAGGGGGGTGGGGCAACTGTCAAGGTGTGGGGCTACCTATGTGGTCCTTGCCAGCTCACCAAAACTTATTAAGCGGCCCTCCACCCAAAATAATTGCCCACCTCTGCCCTAGTAGCATATTAAGGTGGCTGCAACTTAGGTACAACTAGTTCTCTCCATGTTGTCTATGGAGGAAGAGGAAAAGCAGAAGGCCTTTTAAAGCAGGCCTTTAAAAAGACAAAGGGAAATGCTTTCCAGCGAGAGAAACCTTTGACAGCTAAACCAGACAAAGATGAACAGATCTGGCTGTAGCAATCAGAGGAGATGATCTGATGTGGAGGGGGCGGGAGGGGGAGAGCAAGCAAAAGAGAGAGAGAGAGAAATAAGGTCCAAGAAAGGGGCCAATAGTCCCAGAAAGACAAATGAACTAAATCTCACAGAATACTCAGCAGGGATGAAAAAACCTAGGCAGGGAATGGATTATATGCATTTTCTATTTACCAGTAACATGGAAACATGGCTGGTAAAAGAAATAGGTGTGTTTGATTTAGAAATCCCTCTGAAAAATCTGTCTCATTTGCATCAATTTTTGAATGTTCTTAAGGATTAATCTTTATACCAGAATGCCCAAGAGAGTTGAGCTCTAAGGAGGGTGAAGTCTTGAGGCACTGGTTTTGGAGCCTAGGGCAGCTGGATTCTGTGGTCCCACTTCCAAGGGGAAGAATTTATGCCCACTGAGATCACATGAACAAATGGAGCACAAAAGCATATAGACCTAGCGTGTGCAAATCCAAACACAGCAGTTTGCTGAGCGTCAAACCAGTAGGAGCTTGACTATGTCTGTAACACTTTGAATTAGGGATTATCCTATTGGAGGAAGAGGCAACATGGTGAAGTGGATGCAATGGTAGGACATCTACTACAGACATCCAAAACAGG